GACATTGGATTGTCAATGGGGATTCAAGGGACGGAGGTTGCAAAAGAGAGCTCCGATATTGTCATCTTGGATGACAATTTCGCTTCTGTGGCCACCGTTCTGAAGTGGGGCAGATGTGTTTACACTAACATACAGAAATTCATTCAATTCCAATTGACAGTAAATGTTGCTGCTCTGGTGATCAACTTCGTGGCAGCTGTTTCTGCAGGAGAAGTTCCCTTAACGGCCGTTCAGCTTTTGTGGGTGAATTTGATCATGGACACATTGGGTGCTCTAGCTCTAGCTACAGAGAAGCCCACCAAGGAGTTGATGAAGAAGCCACCTGTTGGCCGCATAGAGCCACTGATTACCAATGTCATGTGGAGGAACCTCCTAGCTCAAGCTTTTTACCAGGTTGCAGTACTCCTGATCCTGCAATTCAGAGGAGAGTCAATCTTCAGTGTGACTGAAGCAGTGAATGACACTTTGATCTTCAACACTTTTGTGCTCTGCCAAGTTTTCAATGAATTCAATGCAAGGAAGCTGGAGAAGAAGAATGTGTTCAAGGGTATTCATAAGAACAAGCCGTTTTTAGGGATCGTCGGGATGACCATTGTTCTTCAAGTGCTGATGGTGGAGTTTCTAAAGCGGTTTGCAGATACAGAGAGGTTGAATTGGGGACAATGGGGCGGCTGCATTGCCATGGCTGCTGTCTCTTGGCCCATTGGTTGGATCGTCAAGTGCATACTAGTGCCAGAGAGACCTATTTTCAGTTATCTTAAATGGAAGAAGCGAACGTAATGCTTCAAAAATTTTTTCATTCTTTAAACATCTGCTTGCATATCCTATAATTTGTTTCAGATTTCTCCTTTTTGTTTGTATAGGCTATAATTCATTCATTGTTTAAATTTCTGCATAGATATACTGTAATTCAATTTATAGTTTCCTTCATTGATTCTACTTGTATAGATTATATAGGAAACATATAATAAAATAACTTTGATTCTTTTGATATGGATAGTTCAACATGTTTAATTTTTGCTTAAATGTAATCAAACGCATTATCAAAAATCAGTATGCAACATGCTGCAAAGATGAATAAGTTGTTATTGTGACATTC